CGGGAAGAAATACTGTCGAGTCATGGTGTTGGAACAATAGAGCTCCTGAAAACCGTCCCAAGTCAGGTAAGCACAGTCCCGTGGTGCCCTTACGTACCCCAAAGAAAACCCAGTCGCTTAGCAGCGGAAGCCGACCAGATACACACGGACATAAAAAAACCCTCCTCCTATGTCAGGTGTGCACCGCCCTTGCGAGGAATGCAATTCCCCGTAGCGCAGAAAGCCGAACAAATGCATGCGCCAAAAAAACGGAAAAAAACGGAAAAAACAGTCTCCCGGGCTGGACAACCGGGCAGGGAACTCGCAGGAAAGCAAAAAAGGAACTGGTCCAAAGGACCCTGAAACTAGCCAGGAAATCCACCAAATACAACTAGTTGCTGAACCCTAAAGTAGAAAATAAGCCCAAAGATGGGCTAGCTTGGCAACTCCACCAAACCCCCGCAGCCACAAGAATCAAATCCCGGAAACCACGAAAGCCTCAGGTGACCTCATTTTCCGTACAAACCTTTCAAAGGCATTGGAGACTAACCTAAGGGGATAGTTCCGCATGAGCAACTCCCTCCGGATAGCCAGGAAAGCTTGCATCCGACCGAACTCATCGGATGACCATCTGTAAATCCTATGTAGTGACCCAATAATCACTCCAATCTTCGTACGTTTGGCCGAATAGGACCCGAAGTCCTGATAGGATCCGAAAACCAATCTCCCTTCCTTCCAAATAGGGTCCATATTCTTCTCTAGGGCAACGGTTCATACCGCCGTGCCAACCCTCTGCACCATCATCCCGACAAAAGTCCATTGTCCCGAGCCATCATCCGTCCGTTCTAACCGAAGCTTAGGACCATAACAGTCCTTGAACTTCTAAAAAATGTGATGTGCGGTACTATATCCAGCTGGCCCAACTACCGCCACAAAGATAGTAACGTCATCAATGATCCGAGATCCAAATACAAGACGCCTATCCGTACCTAGGCTATTCAGAAAATTACACTCGGCCCATGTACACAGAATACATGCGAGCGAACAACTCGAAGATTTCCCCATTGGGACACCAATGACCTGTCTGAGTAAAATCTTTGCCGACCATACAAAGGTGAAACGGAGATAAAAAACAATCATTTGACGAATTACCTGCCAACTAAGAAAAAGACAATCCTCTCTTCTAGCCCCGGACGACAAGAAGGATTGATTCCCTCTCTTGGTGATATTGACCCCTTCGTAGCCAGAGGCAATGTATCTGGCCAACAACCAATCCACCGCACAGAGGATATCACCATGTGGCAGGGTGACAAACATATTTTTCACATCAAAAGATCCTGCCACGAGATCCATCAACCCCGGTAGACGGCCCAAGGTCACATCCATTTCCCTAACTTAGATCCGAAACTGATCAACAACCTTAAGATTGAAACTCGAATGATTGGGCAGTCGGAATAGTAGCAAGCAGTTCAAGGACCAGGCGACTCGAGCACAGGCCAATCGTGTAGGTTCAGAACAGGTGGGTGAAATGGGACGACACCTCATAAGATCTTTGTGTTTAGGAAGAACAAAGGCTCTGCCAAACGTCCTTTTGGTGTCCCATCTACCGATCTTATGCAGTCCAGTCGTATGAAAAACCGTACGCATATCAGAAAGCAAAGTTCGAACTTCCCCATCATACTGCATAAAAGAACTGTTCCAATCAAAGGTCATCCTTTGGAAATGGGAATACAAAAAGGGACAAATGATCAGAGTGTCGACAATATTCTGATCAATCGGCACACACGTGAATCGCCTAAGCTTCGTCAACCACCCCGAGAGATCAGAATCAGCAAACCCATCGTCAGTGGTAACTAAACAGGCTGTCAAGTCAGATTTGCTAACCACATAAGATGACCTCGTGATCCTGCAAACTCGGACGATCTCCCTACCTATTTCCTCCATGGACACATCAGTAGTCCGCACAGGAATGTTCTTGGAATTCCGAAAAATGGCCGGGATCCCTAGAACATCACCAATACGGGTCATAATGTGTAACCCATGCCGATTCCAGCCAATTTCATCTTCAAAACAGTAACACCCTTCGAACTCTCCCCCAGAAATCCTATTGTGCATAAAGAGCAAATCTCCAATACACTTATTCTTCCTCCACACAAACCGCACCCACGAGCACAGAAAATCAATGAAAATAGGGGAAAAAAACCGACTCTCGCACAGCTCTGACTGCCAATTTGTGAACCTCTTTAGTCGAAATCCTGTGGTCATACGTCATCCGGACCACTACCCTACTCCGAATATCACAACCAATTCTCTTCTTAACTTCTTTGGCAATCATACCTTTAAGTAGTGAGCGGGTCTCCTTCCTTGAAAATTCTCGTGCAACTTTAAACCAACGCAGAAGTGTAACATCTGAACAGGAAGGTAAACCACGCCTCTTCCATGGCTGGCGCAAAAACAACTGCAACTGACCTTTCATAATTGCTCTACCGGTAGGGGTGAAAATAAGAGGTCCAAACACGAAACTACCTCCTCCTTGAAGCAAGTTTTTCGCTCCCTTCAAACAGACGGATGCTGTACCACAATGAACCAACGAGGTTATGAAAAACCGACGTACCAAAGACCATTTATCAGACCAAGAAATCCCTGGAAAACTTCAAAAACAACATGTCTAATACCTGAATTGAACAAGCCACGCAACAATGAGAACAAGCTATCACACCATTCGCCACCTTCGGCCCTGAACTTGGCAAAAGACCCAAAGCTAGGCGGAATGACTTCGTTACCCTTACGTTTGTGACGAGATGGTCTGGTTCCGAACTTCTTACATCTACGGGACCGCCTGGTGTTCAAAACGGGAGTAAAACTCCGAATAACCACTTTTTCAGCCATGTCAACCGTAGCCATAGCATTAGTTAGGGGAATGGTGACATATCTCCAGATACCAAAGAACTTGAGCCATCTGTAAAACTTGGGACAAACGCCTAGAGCTCCCTTAAAAGAGGTATGCATATGTTCATTCCATCTCACGTAGATTCCCCTAACAGAACTCCCAACATACTGCTGTTTGCACCACAGAGAGGAGAGGAGGTAAACGACTGGACCCCGATCCCAGAAAGTCCAATCAACTGAACACAACATCCTCTGAAACTTACCACTCCATTTAATCTCACCCAGGATAGTTAATGCAACAAAACATAGCGAAACACATTTATCAAAAACCAGACACTCCCTGAACGGTACATCAGCTTGGAAGGCTCTGATCCTGCAACTCATCCAATGCAGCAGATTATCCCACATTTTCCAACAAGCATAATCCCGCAGTCACTTAGATTGCGAAGATATCCCCTCTGGTGAGCTTGGCGCAGACGGAGCAGGAGAAAACACGAAACCTTCGTAGGCCACCTTCGCCCGAGCTGCTATAATCCGATCAATAGATGGTCCCTTGGTGTCATATTGAAGACCTTCGCGCGCACAGATCCGCTTGAGCTCATCCTGTCTCAAAGCGGACAACTCCTTCTGATCCAAAACATATTAAAGTAAACCCTCTGTACCAGACCCTGCTGGGACCTTCCTCCTCCGCTCTCCTCCATCCTGGGAGCATTCACCTCGAATCGCCGGGTCATCAACCGACCTGGTCCAGTCGAAAAGGATGGCTGTCGGAAATTAATCCCACCACGTACCGGTTCTTTTCCACGACGTCTCTTCTCCCGAAGAAGTTCCAACCGCCTAATCTCCAAATCAATGTCATCGACATCTCCCAGATCTTCTTCCAAGCGATGGTCATCCTTCCTCAGGGGAGGAGTGCACCATCCCCTCTTCAACTCTTCCCTCCTTGCTTCATCTCCCTGTCCTAAGTACTGCCTCCCAACTGCCGCCATAATTTCTGCCTTGGTCGCCTCAGCGTACCTCGCCATCTCCGATCTCAACTTCTCGTCAAACCTTATTTGCTCGTCTAACTCCCTCCTCCTGGCCTGTTCTTCTCTCTTCTCCTGTATTAGCTGTTTAAGAAACTCGCGTTCCTCATTCTCTTCCGGATTACGTCTGGGTGTCCAAAAACGAGGAGTCGAGGGTGCAGACGCGGAATTCCCGTTGCCATTCTGACTCTTGGTACTCGGGCATTCCCGTACGAAGTGGCCACCTCCGTTACAGTTGAAGCACTTCACCGGAGTCCCCATCGGAGACGTTCCTGCACACAAAAGGACAGACACAATCCGACACAGAGAGAGAGACCACAAAACCGAGCAAGAGATTCGTAGTCGACAGCGATAATCGGAGAAGGATAACCAATCGTCGCAAGCTGCTCTTCGTCAATCTCCAACCGTAACTCGAGAGGGGAGAAACTCAGCTAGTCCAACCGTGTCTAATCAAGATTCTGCACGTCCCTGCATCCTCATCATAAAAAACTATTACCCTAATCAGATCCTCACAGTCCCCTATAATGACCGCAACTCTAAGTACTACACACATCGTGGAAAACGTGACAAGAAAACACCCCGGGAAGAAATCACTAGCAGAATCTAAAACGAGATAGCACAAAAGGAACTCAGTCTACTCCCACGAACGAAGTCTACCCCCCCGGCGAACAAACATGATAGTCTTCTGTCTGCGAACAAGGAAATTGAACTAATGAACTCAAACAGAGCGCAGCCACCGAGAAATGTACGAATGCACTTCCGGATGCTACGGATCCCAGAATTGAAGGAACTGATCAGCAACATCAGTTTCAGCATGAGAATAGTCCAGCTAGATACACCAATGAAAGCCAACTATTGCGCACGCTTAATTGA